GACTACTAAATTAGGCCAGCATGAATATGTGATAACTGGTGTCACCTTGGGGAAGAGGTTTTGTCTTTGTTTAAACATGAAAAGAAAAGTTATGAATCTCATCAAAATTAATAAAAATTAGATTTGACAAGGGAAGACTTCCTGAAGATCTAGGCTGCATCCATGAAGGAAGAAACTAAAACAAAACAGGAAACACAAACGGTGATCCCTCTACAGGGGAACAGCTCATAGACATGAAAGTGTTTTTGCATAGGCAATAAATCTTGTTGGCTATAGAGTTCTCAAGACCTACCATGCCATACTTTCAAATGACATGGATAGAAATTTATATTACAGTTTGGATATATAGTCCAAACGGACCTAAAATGTTTGATACCTTTTCCCTGCTTGAACATAGAGCAAAGACTCATCTTTAACTGAATTGTGCACTGCACATTCCATATAGTGCAGAAATGTATATTAGCTTTGAAAGTTTATGTTTTTGCAAAATAAAAGGACCAAAACCAAAGAAGATGAGTTGCCTAGGTGATTCAGCCTCACAGATGGCCTCAGCTGTTGTTTCCTCAAAAAATCTTGATACAGACAAAAACATTTATACTGCTAAATAGAACTTCCAGCATCACAACCTATTCCAGTCAGGACTGAAGTTAAGTCCTGCACTGTCACAACACAGAGAAACTGGACAACAAATGCTACAGCTAGCTTTCTTAAGACTGATCAATATCCCAAGTTTCTTTGGGCACTCTTTAAAAACCTGATGCCCCAAATAGCAGAAAACAATATCAAGAGAATGATATCTGATTCTCAAAAAGTTGGGTGGATTGTTTGGTCATTTGGTAGGTGAACTCTGATTCGTATTAGTCAAGCAGGAAACAAAATAAGGGAAGTTAGATTAAAAATTTCTTTTCCTCTTTCTCTTTCTTTCCTCTACACTTCTTTCTCTCCTATCTGATGTTAGGGAAAAGCAGGAAGAAAAAATAAAAAGAAAAAGGAGAGATATCAGAATAATAAAATAAAAGATTATTGAATCTACTTTTAGATCAAAGAGCATTAATAAGTCAAATATTTTACATTTGCTATAGGCTTTGTATATTGATACAAATTTAAGATTATATTTGTTACAATATATTATCTTTTATGTTTCTACTCTTGTTTATGGTATTGTACCTATTGCAGCTCATTTGCAAATGCAATATTGAAGCTCTAGTCCTTTTAAAAACTGTTATTGCAAACTGTTGAGGATAATTAAAAAATGAAAGTTGCAGAAAAATAAAAGAAAAAGGCATATGGAATCCTATTTTATACCACACACAAACACACACACACACACACACACACACACACACACACATCTATGAAGTTTAATCACAGTTACCCTATTCAAAAAGATATATAAAAGCTAATGTCAAAGAGGTATGACTTGAAAGAGAGTATGGAGGAATATATGGCAGAATTTGTAGGGAGAAAAGATAATAAATAATATAGCTATATTTAAAAGAGAATAAACCACATGAAAACCTTTATAACACACACATGTACATCTAACACACACACACACACACACACACCTATGAAGTTGAATCTTGGTTACTCTATGCAAAAATATAATGCTCCTTTAAGAAGCCATGAGATATTAAGCAGAAAATGTCCAGTGACAGTTGGGGTATCCTCTTTCTTGTTACTGGTCAGAGAAAACAAGGGAAACCTAAAACATACAAGCTATTGTCATTATTCTTAATTACACTGTACAAACAATTGTAAGATTTTATTGTTGAAGATGCCAAATACTTTGATTATAAAACATGGAGACATCAAACAAGTATCTACCTGGGAGCATTCTCTATGCTGGCCATATTTCCTAAGGCCAAGAGGTGCTGCACAGGTTGTTTTGGGGAGGCATAAGCAATCTCATCCATCAGAGAACTCAATACAATAATGATTGGTCTGACACAATATGACTATTGGTACAGTAGTGGCATGGATGTTATGGGGGTTAACCAACAGATTTCTAGTTAGACTTAAGGCCTGCTCCATAGGAGAGAACACCAGCCTAATATTGTAATTTGGCCAAGAGCTTATGGCTGGGATGCCAATGGTCCAAACATTATTTTACTAAGAGGACATAATATTAAACTGCCTTCCAAATACTTATCCTTATACACTTAGAGGAGTATAACTCTCATAGCTCACAATGAAACATCCTTTATGCAACATGTGGTGAATACAGAGATGCACAACTTGCCACAGTGCAGAGAATAAGTCACTTGTGGTTTTAGACTTATATAGAATATCTGTTTGTCTTATACAGGACATCACATGTTCTTCTTCAGAAGGTCCAGACTACATTGTTGAAGACAGGGAAGAATTGTAAGAAATAGGGGGTTAAAATGTTGCTGAGAAATAGTGTCTTCTGGACATAACTGAAACATTACAACATTCACTCACAGTAGCTGTGAGTCACTGTTAAAAGGTCTACACAAGGTGAAACCAGTCAGGACTACAGCATGAAGAGGGAAGAGGCTCACAAGGCCCCACATCTAGTCCTGTTGGGAAATGATAAGTTCTAGGAAAGGAAACATCACAACCTTCCTCCCATGGCTCAGAGATCATTGCAGAAAAAGAGACAGAAAGATGTAAAAGGAAATAATTGTAAGGAAATTGTGTTTTCTAAACATAGCAGGATAGCTGTGATTTTGAACCTACAGGGTTAAGGACAACACGCACAATCTCAAGCCAGACCAAATCCCAGCACACAGAAAGGAGATGGGCATGAAGCCTCCACCCTGTTGGCAACTGACAAATGCAGGGAGAGGGAAAGTCAGTTTTCTTTAAGGATGTGATGCCTGGTAAGTTGATCATACTCCAGTTGAAGGCCATCTATCCAAGGGTATATGAGCACCACCACCAGCTTGCTAGCTTTTTCAGTCCCTGTCTTTCTTCCTCTCCCTCTCTGTCTCTCTCCCTCTATTTTTCCTCTCCCGTTCTCTATATCTCTCCCTGTTCCTTTCCATATCTGCTAGGAATGAAGTCCAGGGCTTTGCAAGTGATCTATGAGAACTCCACCATTAAGCTGTATCTGCATCCTTATTTTACTTATTTATTTTTGCTTTTCTAATAATTTATTACTTTTTATTTACTTTACATTCTGATCTGAGACTTCCTCCTTCCTCTTCTCCTTGTCTCACCCTTACAAATCTCTCCCTACCACTGCCCTCTTTCCTTCTCCTCAGACAATGTGTGGGCCTTTGGATACCATCCAACCCTGGGACATCTAGTCCCAGCAGGAATAGGCACATCATCTTCTGCTGAGGCCCAACCAGGCAGTCCAGGTTGGGAAGGGCATCTAATGGCAGGGTACAGTAATTGAGCCAGCACCTGCTCAACTTGTTAAGGGTCTCACATAAGGACCAAGCTGCATATTTCCTGCCAATATATAGGGGGTATAAGTCCAGCTACTTCATCCTCCCTGGTTGGTGCCCTAGGCTCTATGAGCCACCATGGTCCCAGGTCAGTTGATTCTGTAGGTATTGTGATGTACTTGACCCATGCAACTTGCTCACTTCTAACCCACATGCTTCCAAAAGACTCCTCAAGCTCTGCCTTGTGTTTGGCTGTGGATCTCTGCGACGCGCCGCCTCGCCGAAAAGGAGAACACGCCACACTTCAGGA